GGGTCTCCAGCTCCAGCGCTTGCAGTACCACCGGCTCCAGCAGCTCCAGTACCTCTAGTACGAGCACCTTCAAGACCAGCAGCTCCAGCACCTCCGGGACCAGCAGCTCCAGTGCCTCCAGCTCCAGGTCCCCCAGCTCTAGCAGCGCCACTCCGAAGGCTCCAGCCTAGAGCAAACTACTCGCGCAGCTGCGGGGGAGAGAGAGGCTCCCGCCGTGACAAGGCACCCGTAGGACCTCCAGCAGACAAAGTACCTCCTGACTCAGCACGCTTAGGCTCAGCACCCCCAGGCTCAGCACCCCAAGGCTCAGCACCCCCAGGCTCAGCACCCCCAGGCTCAGCACCCCCAGGCTCCGCACGCTCAGGCTCAGCACCCCCAGGCTCCGCACCCTCAAACTCAGCAACCCCAGGCTCAGCACCCCCAGGCTCCGCACGCTCAGGCTCAGCACCCCTAGCAGCACCACCCCCAGCAGCACCAGAGTCTACCTGAGACACACCTGAGGGAGTAGGACCCTGAGTGGGGAGGGGGTCTACCGGAGGAGGACCTGGTGCGAGGATGAGCGGTGGGGGGGGGAGAGGGGCAGTGCGGTAGGGGAAGAGACGGTAAAAGGGAACCAACTCGTCAAACGTGACGTCCTGAGAGGGCAGGACACGGCGCGAGGTGGGGTGGTAAAACTGCCAGCCAGGCACTTCAGGGGGAAAGCCAAGGAAAGGGAATGGAGCGGGAGGAGAGCTTGTCCGCGGAAGTATCACGGACAAAGGCACGACAGCCCCAGACCCGTAACACAAACGCATCGCCAACCTTCCCCGTCCAACGCAGTGTAGGCGAGGTCTCCGGCAAGGAGACACGGGGCCAGAGGTTGAGCTGATGCGCAGCATACCGGACCCCAAACGACCACAGAAAATGGGGGGCAGTGGATCATGGAGGTACGAGCGACCTCCATGACTAAGCCAATGCGACGCTCAGCAACCCCATTCTGCTGCGGAGAGGCCGGAAGCGTGAACGACTGGCGAATGCCCTCCCCACGACAAAAGTCTCGCAAGAGGTCATAGGCAAACTCACCACCTCTGTCAGAGTGCAGACGCAGGACCGGAAGGTCCTCGTGGAACCGTTTACGGAGCTGGAGACGGACAGCGCGGATCCAAGGGATCAAAACACCAGGGACCTCCCCCTTGCTGCGCAAGGGGAAGACCGTGGTGTAACGCGAGTAGTCGTCAACAACCAGCAGAAAGTATCGCTCGCGGCCCTGTCCACGGACGTGGCCTGGGCCCCACACGTCCATGTGGAGAGTCTGCAGGGGAGCAGTCGTCGGGGGAAACGAGGAGGAGTGAGGAGCGGAGCGCTGCCGCCCCTCGACACAAGGAAGGCAGGGAGGGGCAGGCGAGGGTGGGAGGGGAGGCAGAGACCTGGGAAGACCAGAGACAAGGAGACGGGAGTGCATGCCACGGAGGCGTGGCACGGAGGGGTGACCAAGGCGGTGGTGCCGAAGGAGCGTCTGGTGCGACAGAGCGCGACACAAGCAGGGGGCTGCTAGCTGACCTGACGCGGACGCAGACGCAGCTACCTGAGGAGGCTGAGTAGTCAGTGTGTATAGACTCGACCCAGGCCGACGGGTGAACGTGGCCAGGTGACGACCCGTCCGTGTACACGTGCAGATCGACACACGCTGACCCCTAGGAGTGGTGGTAGTGACCATCGCATCCTGGAGGGCAGCGGTACTCACCAAGTTCGTAGAGAACGAGGGGAGGTGAAGACCTGAGAGTGAGCCGGACGGAGCCGCTGGACACGGGAGAACAGTTGAGGAACGGGCAAGAACTGGGCCCTAGGAGGGGTCAGCCAGGCTGACAGCAACAGGTGATGGGAGTGGTGTGACTATGGTACTGTCGCAAAAGAAACAGCGGGAAGCACCTGAGTCAAGCGTGAAGGTGTGCAAGGCCTGAGCAGGCGCAGTACCAGAGAGAGCAGACTCACTAGCACCTAGAGCAGCAGCCTCTATACCTGGGTCGGGCGGCACACACAGGTAGCAGTCACCCTCAGCACTAACAGTCAATGCATACATGGCAGCAAGGATAGCATCATAGTCAAGAGCAAAGATATCCACACCCTACCTAAGCAGCTCTAGCCAGAGGGGGAACTGAGTCGCGTCGGGAAACTCTGCGCGCCAGGCGTCGTCAAGGCGGAAGAAGCAGCGGGACTGGGTGTGACCAACCTTCCCGCATGGCTGACCAGCGCGGTCACCTGCGCGAATGACGTACTGGCAGCGAACACTACCCCCAGACGCCCCACGCTGAGCAAACCACTCACGAAGCTCCTGGGGCGAATGGGTCTCGCGCTGACGCTGCTGCTGCTGCCTCTGACCACTGCCAGAACCGCTCCTCTGACCGGCTCCACCCCGACCGCCACCACTGCCGCCGCCACCACTCCCACTGCCGCCACCACTGCCGCCGCCACCACTCCCACTGCCGCCACCACCGCCGCCACCAACGCCTCCACCCCAACCACCACTCCCTCCGCCACCACCGCCACCTCCACCGCCTCCACCGCCCCCACCACCGCCACCCCCACCACCCCTGCCTCCCTTGCCCCTGTCGCTGCAGCGCCTCCCACTAGGAGAAGACGCAGCTCCGACCTCCTCAGCACGAAGGAAGTCAGCAGCAGCAGCAGAAGCGACTGAGGGGACAAGGGAGTGCGAGGAGTGCCACGAGAAGCGCCTACAGCGACTATGCTGGTCTCAGCTGCAAGGAGGTGCTTCTCGAGCAAGGCGACAGTGAGGTCTGTGGGGTCAAGGGCGAGAAGGAGGTCCCTGACTGTGCTAAGAGAGTGAGGGAGGCGGGTGACGATGAAGTAGAGAGCGATGTACATGGGGAGGGGGGGGGGGGGGGGGGGGTGCTCGGCTAGAAACTCGGTGGGAAGCGCGGTGCGGTAGCGAGTGTCACTAGTGCGAAGGTGAGTGATGAGGTCGGCGACTGTGGCAAAGGCAGACAGCTCGGGAAAGAGGTAGGGCAGTATAAGGCGGCCTAGAGCAGCAGTGGCCGGGGAGTAGTAACGAGCGACTACAGCGTCGTACAGGGCTTTAGCAGTCTTGTGCTGGCCAAAGTGAGCGCGTTCGGCTAACGGCAGGTGGTTGCGAACGGCTAGGCGAGCAGCAGCGTCACGGGTTAGCAACTGTGAGCAAGTCGCACTGTCAGCTGTGTCGGGAGGGGCGAGAGAGGCTCCAGACGTGAGGTCAAACAACGAAACACCGTCCCTAGAGTCGCTCAGTAGGTACAGCTGTAAGTCATCGAGCCACGCATCAAATTGGATCGGACGGCCCTCAGGATTGAAGGTGAGGACGCTGAGAGTAGCCATTGCGGGCAGAGCAGTGGGGCGCGCTAGCAGCAGGGCAGCACGCAGGCAGGGCAGGGCAGGGCGGCGCGCAGACAGGGCAGGGCAGGGCGGCAGCCAGTAGGGCGGAGCGCGGGCAGGGCAGGGCGGCGCGGCGGCAAGTGGCGCGCGGGCAGGGCAGGGCGACGGCCAGCAGGGCGGCGCGCAGGTAGGGCGGCACGGCGGCGAGCGGCGCTCGGGCGGGCAGTGTGGCGCGGCGGCGAGCGGTGCGCGGGCAGGGCAGGGCGGCGCGCGGGCAGGGCAGGGCGGCGCGGCGGCGAGCGGCGCGCGGGCAGGGCAGGGCGGCGCGGCGGCGAGCAGCGCGCGGGCAGGGCAGGGCGGCGCGGCGCGGCAACGAGCGACGCGCGGGCAGGGCAGGGCGGCGCGCGGCTAGCAGGGCGGTGCGCGGGCTGAAAAGGGCGATGCACGAGCAGGAAAAGGCTGCGCGCGGGCAGGGCAGGGCGGCGCGCAGCGAGCAGGGCAGCGCGACGGTTATGGCAGGGCAGGGCAGCGCGACTGGTGGGGTAGGGCGCTACGGGCAGCTAACGAATCGGTGGGCCCTTAAAAAAACGGTCCTGGAACAGGACCTGCTCTGAAACCATGTCAAGAAGACTGAACGAGAATGATTGAATTGAGAAAGAACAGAGTACAAGAACTAACCCTAATTGGGTTGTACCTTTTATAAGCTACCCCAGTACAGCCTACACAACACACAACATAATAGTTTGACAAAACCATCTGAAGAGCAACTGATATGCTTATCTTTAAAATCAAGTATACTCACAGTGTTGTCCAGAGAAACGTCCTTACCAGATTTGCTCCACAAAACAGCTTGAGTGTGTGGCGCACCTCGATGTTGGAACTCGTCCAAAGCAAAATAGTCATCTATGCCTCATAATAATGAAGACTTCGAAGAAAGCAAGTTAGAAAACAATGATTTCTTCCTAGAACCATAATATCGATCACACTTAACTGGATCATTCCGTACTAAAGTACTAATCGAATCTAAATCTTATGGTACGCTACAATCGTCCGCCACTTTAGCCTGATTTCCTCGTAGTTTATTAATGTTTAGTAATATCGTATGTTTAGTAATATCGTATGATATTAATGTTTAGTAATATCGGATTTCCAATCTGTCGCAACATCGCAAACGATACAAAAGCATAGCTAGTGGTTTCACGATAGCATACCTTAAAGCCCCAGACCTGAATTACTCGATGCAAGTCAACGGGGGGCAAGACTATGGGCTGCGGCAGGCAAACTGTGCACAGTTTGCCTGCTTCTTTTGTAATTCGGGTCTTGGGCTTTAAACAGTGTGTAGTAGGCGCGCTTGTACGCATTACTAGGCGCGCGTGTTCTTTTTACTTACGCCATTTTTGTTTGTAATGCAGTGCTTGCTGTGGTTTTCCAAGTACAAGTTGGCAATCAAAATTGGAGAACTTATTATAAAGAGTCGATGAATAGTTTTTTTTTCCTCATTACTATTGTTCTTTATTTTCCTATGTCAAAATTGCAGGTGGTTATATAGTTGCGATCACGCCAACACTCCTCTCGTGATCTTTCCTTCCTCCTTTCCTCTCTTAGCTCACGGGCAGTAAGAGGATGTATGATGCCATCACACCAACCTTGCTCCAATGTTCTTTACTCCCCATTTCCCCCATGTACCCCTCGCTCAGCTCACAGGAGCAAGAGGGCGCATGTCGCCATCACGCCCCCACACCCCCAACCTCTCCTCCCCTCCCCCTTCACCACCACCACCTCTCCCCTCACGTCGTAAGTTCCCATACCTGTCTTTCATTCCAGTATCCCAAGTTCATATACCCATCTCTCCCCTCTTGACTCCCCCTCCCGAACCCCCCAACCCACTCCATGCTGCGCTTAGCCATGCTGAGAACTAGGATCGTGGACGCGTCAGGCACCATCTCCCTGTCCCCCTCAGCATGCTCTCCCCTTCCGACCCTGCCTTCTATCCCCCTCACTCTAGTGGGCCCCATGCTGCGCTTAGCCATGCTGAGAACTAGGATCGTGGACGCGTCAGGCACCATCTCCCTGTCCCCCTCAGCATGCTCTCCCCTTCCGACCCTGCCTTCTATCCCCCTCACTCCAGTGGGCCCCATGATACGTGAAGCCATGCTGAGAACCAGGTTCGTGGACGCATCAGGAACCATCTCGCTGTTCCCCTCAGCATGCTCTCCCCTTCCGACCTTGCCTTCTATCCCCCTCACTCCAGTGGGCCCCATGATGCGTGAAGCCATGCTGAGAACCAGGTTCGTAGACGCATCAGGAACCATCTCGCTGTCCCCCTCAGCATGCTCTCCCCTTCCGACCCTGCCTTCTATCCCCCTCACTCCAGTGGGCCCCATGATGCGTGAAGCCATGCTGAGAACCAGGTTCGTGGATGCATCAGGAACCATCTCGTTGTCCCCCTCAGCATGCTCTTCCCTTCCGACCCTGCCTTCTATCCCCCTCACTCCAGTGGGCTCCATGATGCGTGAAGCCATGCTGAGAACCAGGTTCGTGGACGCATCAGGAACCATCTCGCTGTCCCCCTCAGCATGCTCTTCCCTTCTGACCCTACCTTCTACCCCCCTCACTCCAGTGGGCCCCATGATGCGTGAAGCCATGCTGAGAACCAGGTTCGTGGACCCATCAGGAACCATCTCGCTGCCCCCCTCAGCATGCTCTTCCCTTCCGACCCTGCCTTCTATCCCCCTCACTCCAGTGGGCCCCATGATGCGTGAAGCCATGCTTAGAGCTGCGGAGACAACTCTATCAACGGGAGCTAGACTACAGGCTAGACACGGGGTAGGAGGGATCTTTGCGTTCATTCACTTAGTCGTTCTCTAGCACTTGTGCGTTCACAGGGTAAAACTGCAAGAGTTTCACTGGCAAAAGTTGAGAACAATGGTAGCAACAACATTAGCATGCAAGACTACATCAGACCTAGCAAAGTTGCTCGTCGACTTCCAGCACAGCATGGTCGACCGCGTGCCAGCACGACTTGGTCGACCGCGCTCCAGCAGAGCAAAGTCGCGGCTTGCCAACGTTGCAAGTCCACGGTGTGCCAACACTGCAGCAAGTCGGCTGCACAGCGTTGCGCCCGCAGAACAACGGTGCACCTGCTTCGCAGGTGCATGCAGCTGGTTGGTGCACTTTTCCTTGTCACGTGCACAGCTCAGACGCCCAACTCAACTCCACGCCAGCGACTGCGCCCACCGGCCACGTCGACCTCGGGATACCACCACCGAGGTCGGTCTCGCCACAACCACCTGGGCGACCGTCGCACTCCTCCGCAGAACCTCGTCACCCAGGTAACCTGGTTGACCGGGCAACCACCACGTCAACCAGCTGCTTGCTCGTGTGTCCGTCAACCTCCCAAGTCGACGACCACCTTCAGTCGACCACACCCTTGGTCGACCAGCTCCAGGTCGACAACCCACCTGGTCGACCAAGTCCAGGTCGGCCAGCACACCTGTCAGCCGACCACACCAAGTCGGCTTCCCCTGGTCGACGTCACCCAAGTCAACACCCTCTACTGGTCGACCTCCCAAGTCGACCAGCCGAAGTTGGCGCCCTTGCAGTGGCCCCCGTGCAGGTCGACCAGACCCGTCGACCAGCTCCCCCACTACTGCAGGTCGGTTTCACTCCTCACACCCGACCACGAAGTCAGCTCCACCGAAGTGAGGACGGGGCCAACAACAACTCCCGTTGACACTCCCTTGCCGCGTTCACGCTTGGGCACCCAGCCCACATGGCAGCACTGCTCGGAGAATAGCTCGTCGGCGTGCACCCAACACACAGCACGCCGGTCACCGCACCAGCCATGCAAGAGGGCATGGAACCTACTGCTGCACGTCGTTGTCACCGTCGCCCACGTCGACCAGGCGCACCTGGCCGATTGCAAGGGAGCACCGGTTGAAGGCCGGGTAGTGCAGCGCCTTCGTCAGGAAGTCGGCTGGCTGCTCAGCGGTCAGGATGTTCCTCAGCGAAACGTCCCGCGCTTCACCATGTGCTGCAGCCAGGCTTGTCGGCTTCCCGGCATCCAGCTGCCGGAGTTCTGCAAGAAGGAAGCGAAGGCGACGTCCCTCCTTGCCGGCTTCGGTGGCCGCCACGTACTCCGACTCGGTCGACGACAGCTTCGCGCACTTAATGCGCTGGCTCGACCAGGAGACTGTGGCCCCTCTGTCGGAGAACCTCTTCAGCCTCGTCTTCCTTGCCTTCTTGCCTCCTTAGTGCTCCTCTTGTCCGGCCCCTGCCTCACTCCTCTTCCTCCCATGCCCTTCCCTTCTTGCTCAGCTTACCCTTGCTCTCAGCCGCCTTATGCACTTGCCCCTTCCTCGACTCTGGTATTCGATGGACTCTTCCCTTTGGCGGCTCCTTCAAGTCTTCTTGCCTCTGCTGCTACTCCCTTACCCTTTTCTACCTCTTCTCTCTGGGCCTTGCCCTCGCCACGTTGGTGCGGTGATCAGTTCTCCTTTCTCCCTGTTCGCTGGTCAGGACCACCACTCCGGACTCCTTCACCTCCTTCACTCTCCACCTCTCCGTGCTAAGGCCAATGTCCATCATGTCATGTTTGGCTTGCTTGAGATATACCTCCTCTCCTGCCCCCAGTGCCTTCTCTCCTTTCCCCGTCTCAGCCTCTCTCCTCTTCCTGTACCTCTGTGCGTCTCTCAGCTGGGCCACATGCAGATTCTCTAGTGCTGCTGGCAGCAGCTCTCTCAGATACCTTGCCGTGGCCTCCGCCACTCCCACCCACTCTTCCTCTTTCTCCACTCTCACCGTGCCTGTGAGGAGTTTTGGTGCATCCACTGGCAGTATTGGCTCTCGTCCCAGCAGCAGGTAGTATGGCGACATGTCCCTCAGGGCTGCCTGCTTACTGAATCGGTATCCTGCCGCCACCTAGGGTGGGCGAGCATCCCAGTCTCTCTTGAACTTATCCCCGTAGGCCCTCAGTCCTCTCTTCAGGGTTTGCACAAATCTCTCAGTTAGTCCGTCACTCTGGGGATGGTACCTGGAGGTCCTTCGGTGCGTTATGCCTGTTGCCTTCAGCAGTTGGTCAAACTCTCCCATGAACTCGGTCCCTTGATCTGTCAGCACCTCTCCGCACGCCCCAAACCTTGTGAGAACTTGCTCTTCAAAGGCCTCTGCTATCCTGCCCGAGTTCTTGCTGGGTATCGCTTTCACCTTCACCCACTTGCTGCCATGCTCTATCATGATGAGGATGTATCTCTTCCCTCTCCGACTCAGCGGCATCTCTCCTGCCAGATCTAGTGACCATCGGAATCCCAACCCCCGAATGGGCAGTGACTGTAGCTCCTCCCTCCCTCTTTCCAGCTCCGCCTTGTTCCTGCTGCATAGCTCGCATGCCTCCACCCGGCTCTTAATCTCTCTTCTCATGCCCGCCCACCACCATCGTGTCTCCACCAACTGGGCAGTCCTTAGGCTTACGTAGTGTCCTAACTGACGGTGGACTTGATGGATTATCTGCTGTCTCTCTTCTTTCTTGGGTACTAACTTCCAGCCGCTGCTCGTCTTCTTTTGTAGCTGGTCCTGGAACCAGCGGTAGTGTCCTCCCCTCGCCCTGGCTCTCTCACTTACTGGTGCGGCTTCTGCCGTTTTGCCTTGCACCCATTCCAACACCTCCTGGTCCTCCCATACGTCTTCTGGCCCCTTCTGCTGCATCTTCTTCGCCCCTTCCCCATCGATCTCCCTGGCTAGTGCCACCAGGCAAGCCGTGGGTGTCTCAGGCGGCGGATTCCTGGACAGGCCATCTACATGTTGCATGGTTTTCCCTGGCCGGTGCCTGATCGTGAATTCGTACTCTTGAAGTCTCATGGCCCACCTCGCATTCCGTCCAGTCAGCGCCCGGTTGGTCATCAGCCACGTCAGCGGTTGGTGGTCTGTCACTAGCTCAAAGGGTCTCCCCTGCAGGTATACCCTGAAGTGAGTCACTGCCCACACGGCTGCCAGGCCCTCTCCTTCGTATGAGGAATACTTTGCGTCGGCCGGATTGTAGCTTCTACTGGCAAATGCCACCACCATCTCCTCGTTGTCTCGCTTCTAGCAGAGTATTGCCCCCATTCCTGCGCTGCTCCAGTCGGTGTAGAGGGTGAATGGATCCTCCTTGTTCGGCAGAGTAAGCACGGTGGCGATTTTCACTGCCTTCAGCAGCGCCTTCAATGCTTCTTGCTCTGCCTCCCCCCACTGCCATTTCAGGTCCTCCCTCAGCAGCTGGTTCAGCACTGCCGCTGTCTTGCTGAAGTTAGGCACGAACTTCCTGTAGTAGTTCAGAAAGCCTAGTATAGCCCTGAGCGTTGTTCTGTCCTTGGGAGGTGGCACCCTGTCTAACACCTCCACCTTAGCTTGCTGGATCCCCAATGTGCCTCCTTGCACCTCGAACCCCAGGTATGTCACTGCGGCGTTACCGAAGCTGCACTTCTTTGGGTGACAGGTGAGCCCTGCTTCCTTGATCGCTTCTAGCGTCGCCTGTACATCCTTCACATGCTGTTCTGCCCTCGGACTGAACACGATCACGTCATCAATGTAGCAGGCTGCTGCTGGAATTCCTCTCAGGGCCGCATCCATGGTTCGCTGGAACAAAGCCGATGCGTTCTTCATGCCGAATGGCATGAATATCCACTCGTACAAGCCGTCTGGCCCATGAAACGCCGTCTTTCCGCGGTCCTGCGGCCGTATGGGGATCTGGTTAAATCCTTGGCGGAGATCCAGTGTTGAGAAGACTACCGCCCCTTGCAGCTTGTCAAAGATCTCCGCACATCCTCCTGGCTGACACTTCCCCGGTGAGGTCTTTCCTGGAGGCCACTACGGTGGCTGCCGCGTAGGGGCTTTCCGACCTCTGGATCAAGCCCGCTTCCAGCAGTTCTGCACACTTCTCCATGCAGATGTCTAGGTCCCCTGGACTCATCCGCCGCTTCCTCTGATAGATCGGTACCTCGCTTGTCAGCTCTATGCGCATCTCCTGTGTCTTGCACTGGCCCAGTTCCTGGAGGGTGTATGCAAAGCAGCTTTGGTTCTCTCGCAAGACCTTCTGCATCGCGTCTGCAGTTGCTGTTATAGTCACAATAGGCTTGAATGTGCCTAAAACGAAAGATAGAGAGCACAGACGGATTTCTGCACAGCGGCTTCAAACGTTGATAGCGTTCTGCTCACAGCTGTAAATGACTTGATTCAAATTGGATCTGGAGCGTCTTCACGTCGTCTACAATTATCAATTTAGATTGCACGATTTGATAAAGAATTGACGACACAGCGTCGGTTTGAACGAACGGTACTATGGCAGCCACTATAGTCTTAGAACACAAGATAGGAAGAGTTACGAGTTGGGAATGACTCCCAGCTCCTACAAACCCCAAGAGCCGAGGTACAGTGATGTGGAACAGTGCCACACTGTCCCCAACCACGAAGGGTCTCGAAACTACCCTTCACTAGGGCCTACACCAAGTGAAATGTTACACTACACAAAGTAATGTAACTATCTTCAATATCTTGAGGTGTACCCTTTTGGCGAGCTTCGAAATCACTTGAGGCTTGACACCAAGGCTCGGGCTCTTCATCACAAACTCATCCTTGATTTCTTGATGGGTCTGCTGCACACACCTGCGACACGCCGAACGTTCGACACAGGACAAAATAGAAACCGCGCACGACAAAATAGAAACCGCGCGCGAGACACAAACGACCGCGTAACACGCGTCTAGCGATAACTCGCTATTGACTCGAC